AACTATTACTATTGACAAAGTTGAGAGTTTTATGTTTGACGGTGATTTCAATTTTTTTTAAGGCTATATACAAATAAAGGGTGAACTTTAATTTATTTGTGCAGTTTTTCTGAGGCTTTATATTGTTTATATTGATATCGAATTATATCATTGTCGACCAAAATTAAGAAATATATTGTGGTAAAAGTTTTGGCCATATCCTCCAGCCCTAATGAGTGTGTGTTTTCCCATGTCTTCATAGCATTAGCTGATTAGTATTATTTTATTATGACTTACAACCACCTACTGGAGGCGATATTGAGTTGAGAAAGGTTTCTGTTGTGGCGTTACATTGTTTTTCACAACAGTGGTGTAATGTCATGCAGTGTGAACCCTTTAAATAAAGTTATTCAGTGCAGCCGTCTTGGAAACACAGGAACAAGCCTTTTTTTTGACAAGCAACCAAGATAAACTGGTTTGTGGAGTTCAGCAATCAGCTGCACAAGCCAATGCTCCAGGGCTCAAAACAATACTTAATATTTATTTCCTGCATTTGATGGTATTATCTTGGTGGTTGTGGGATTTTTAAAGTAACTTCTACCAATAGTTCCTGCTGTGCTGGGATTTCTTTGTTGGCAGGAGTTTAGATGAGCGTCAATTTAACCATTCGATGTAAACAAGTGGGCAACAGAAGTGCCCGTCTACTTGCTGCTTGGCAAAGCGTCTGGCCTTTTGGTAAAACTTCCATGTTGCTCTGTGTCGCCATGGTGATGCTATCACAAAGGACTCCAGCTGTCTCTCTGTATGAGCGTGTGTGAGTGTGACAGAAAGAGACACCGACGGACAAATGGACTTATCCTGTCCCTCCTCCTCCTTTTCTTCTTCGGTCTCGTTCAGCTTTTTCCCCTCTGTTAGACAGTGTCTACCCTCTCCCCCCATGGGCAGATCCAAACCCTAAACATGGTGCAGCTGGGCTCAGCTGTCAATGTTCCACCAACCACCCCCGCCCCTTCCCTGTCCCGGCCCTTTGTGTTTGTTTGGATGGCAGTGGATTTGCTCTTGGCCTCCGCACGGGGGAGCTCGCTCCCGTTCAGCTCGCCTCCTAAACTAAACCATCTGCTCTTTGAAGTGGCCCATCACAGATATACAGATTGGAGTCTACAAGGCAGCTGCCTGCTTTCAATCTGTTTCACTGTGACACGAACGCAGTGATTAAAATAAAGGAAACACCTCGGCACACACACACGTAGGACGCAGTGGCCAGCAGAGTCAAACGAAGAGGTGGGCAGCAGGTCTGTTTTTGTTCCGAGGGCAGGAAAATGAATGGAGACTGCTTTGTCTCGGGGGAGGGAAGAAGGTTTTTCTTTGATTTTATCAAAGCCAGGGGTGGGGAGAGTGCTCTGCAAAGAAGAGCTGCTATTCACACCAACTTGTCGGCATGGGACTTTTGAAGCATTTGTCAAGAAAGGGATTTGGCAGAGGGCCACTAGAATTTTGTCATTCACAAACTCCCCTCTTCTTTGGGATGACAATGCTCACAGCAAGCAGCAGCTACCTCCAGGAGGGGAGAAGGAATTCAATTCTCCAACCCTATTTCCATTAAAGTGAGGACTTTTTTTTGCATACAAGTGAATCTTTCTTCTGTAATCCAAACTACATGAAAATACAGCTTCCCACATTCAGTCTTCAAGGGTTTGGTGGAATCATGTATCAAGTTCCTGCTTCATTCTGTCCTTGACTCAGTGTGTGGGAGTGCAGGGCAATGTAGCTGTCTTTCATGGCTGCAGGAGGATCAAACTGTTTTCTTATCATTTTCTGTGGAAACTGGAAACCTGACCCTTGCCTTATCTGGTCAGTTGTTTTCCTCTTGCTTTAGTCAGGCAGGAACAAATTTTAGGATCCCTCTTGTTTTCCATCACTGGAAGTTTTTCCTAGCATAAAAGTCAAATCCAACAAAGTCCCTGGCACATGGCGGTACATTGACAGCAGCTCCTGACGGATGGAGAGCATATCATTGACAGGAAGTCTGCGGTCTCTCTTGATGTGGAGAGGTTGAAACATTAAGCAGGGTTGTGTATGTATATATGTGTGTGTGTGCAGGCTTGTATGTGCATGCAAGTGTGTGCATTTTTACTCTTGGGTGTGTTTACTTAACCTGCATTGGCATTTGAAACCCCTGTCATTCTCTGGAGTCTCTGGCTCTCAGTCCCTGACAGCTAGGTGGGACTGCGCTGCATCTCCGGTTTCATATAGTGCTTTATTGAGCGGATGAAAACCCTCTTTAACTCCTCTTTGGGCCTGAGAATGGCATTGACGCACTATCACAAACACTCATGTGACTTTCAGATAACTTCAGCGGTAGATCGTCTGAAAGTAGCTGATATTTTATCTTTTAAACTGCTGTGGTTAAAAGAATACAGAACCCAACCCTCTGTGTATAAGTACCATATTTTTCACTGTATAAGTCACAGGATTTTTGCATAAATTAGCATACCTGCGACTTATACAACAAAGCAACATATTTATGTTTTTTCCCCATATTTATAACCCAATTTTTGGCTGCGATCTGACAATTTCATTCATTCTGATATGGAAAATGTTGAACACTACCATTTTCAGCCACTAGAGGGCCCTTGACTAATATGGCAAGCCAAGTGTCTCATTAATAGGTAAAAGTGATTATTAATGAAACACTTGGCTTGCCATACCAAGCCACCTTTGTCTCCTCTGGAACTCCTTGAGCAAACGTCAAATCAGCTGCATTTTGCTGCTCCGCCCAGGCAAAATGCAGCTGATTAGACCATTAAAGTGCATTTATTAAGGAAAAGTTCAACTGAGACACACATTTGCTATAATGTTGAGCAAACAAATAATTTTATTTAGGTGGTTATCTTGTTAAATTTCTAAAAAATGCACAGAGAGTCGTCCCTCTGCGCGCTCCTGCTTCCGCGTATCGGCTTTTGAAATGCAACTGATTTGACCATATTGTGCATTTATTAAGGAAAAGTTCAAATGAGACACACCTTTGCTATAATTTCGAGCAAACAAATAATTGTCTTTAAGTGTTAATCTTGTAAAATTATTGTTAAAGTCATCCCATGCATGCTCCCGCAGCCGCCATTTGGCAGCCAATTGATTTTTGGCACAAAACAGGCCCACGTTTACGGGTGGTCAGCGCAGACGTGTAACAAACGCAACATGTCAACGGTGACACATAATAGATGTGATTTATACGACATAGAGACATATTTATGTTTTTGTTACACTTTATTAGACATATTTGGACTGATGCGACTGATGCGACTTATACAACGGTGCAACGTTTACGGCGGCAAGTACGGTACTCGTCAATTGTAATAATTGCCCAAATGATTATATTGAGACTTTAGTGCATACCCTGGTATACTTACTTGATTTTCCATTTGTATGGCTTTAGTAGTATTTCCTGCTTCCTTTGTATCTCAGTAAAGCATGTGAGATTCATCTGTTGGAGAAAATACAGTCAGTCTTTTTAGTGGCTTGGTATACCACATTAACAACCTTGTGATCTCATCTCAGTGCAGGCTACTTGAATTCTTTCCAGCTTGTCAAAGCCAGACTGAAATCTTGTCTGCAATCATCCAATCAAGAGGGAGGTGGGAGGGCAGTTGGAGGCTGGTGGATGATAAACTGAAAACATGAAGCCAGCTCTGTTAAGGCCTCTTCTGTATAGACAGAATGCAAAACAAACACGATCCCTCTGCAATCGTTTTAGACATGGCTACAGGTGCTGGGTGTGGCTGGCAATGGTTTTCTACTACGATCCCATCTCGGTAGGGTGTTTGTCTTTTGTAGGGATTAAAGAGATCCAGGAAGCCTGCTGCCCTAGTTTTGCTGCTGAGAGCACGGGGAGCGCGACCTAGATTTTGACAGCACCAGTCCGGGAAGGAGATTCCAAGCTATAACGTTGTTAGGAGATGGCTGTTTTTTGTCTCTCTGTAGACATGCTGTGTTTTCTTTGTCTGTTAGCGTGTTTCTATAGACAGGTTCTGACTCAGGGTGTGTGAGAGCCTCCATTGTCTGCACAGGACCTGTGGCTGTAACATGAGAAGGGGAGAATGCTGACAGAAAGTATGAGTGTGTTATTGAGTGCAGCCCTGGTGACATTTCTCTATAGATATTTACTTAGATTGCATAGAGCTCCCTGACTGATATCTTATAGATCATTTTCTTTCTGCTGTAATTATTTGTGCAATCAAAAGTAACGCTCATAAGCAGTTATTAACATAGTCAGCAGTATCAAATTGTTTTAGATGCACTGACTGTTGGGAGAGCTTAACCATGTAGATCAGTGGGTCAAGTAGCTGACATAATAATCCTATTATACTGTAGATGCAGTTCTGATTTGTCAAAGTTCACTGTATTCTACTCTCTGTTTGACTCCAAGACTTGGACAAAAAGTTTCAAAGTGACATATTTTGTTATTGTTTTTCTTTTGACTGCTCCTTTCTATAAGGATTTCCACAGTTGGTGAACTTCTAGGAAAGATTCTTCAATTGTTTTGCACCAGGTGCCATTCTCACATCCGCAGCTTCAGGATTACACTGACCACTAAAATCACATATGTGCAAAATCAACAGTGAATATAGTTAAGCTGTATTTAACATATACAACTTTATATAAAAATATGACATGTAATCACTAAAATCTACATTAGTGTTACAGTTAAATTTCCATTTTATTAAAGGAATAGCTCAAAAGCAAATCAAGCTCTCGAAGTTTGATCCCACAAAGACTCTACTTTTCTATGAACTGTTTTGTATATTAACCTGTTTGCTATTCAATTTTTGAGTTTGTAATTGTTTTAAGATGGCAACAATCCACTTGGTCTTGCTCAAGCTAGCTGTTAGCTCATTACTATGGTCAGAATTAAACTATTTCTTCAAACTCAGGTTGTTTAAGGAGATATCTGCAACAAGTATATATATTGTTCATAAACTTCAAAATGTCTAAATTGTATTTTTTTCTGCCCTTCTCTGCAGTATCATCATGCATCACCACATACAAAAAGACACCACCCCCTGTCCCACCGAGAACCACACCATCCAAACCGTTCATATCTATAACAGCCCAAAGCAGCACCGAGTCCGCTCAGGATGCCTACATGGATGGGGGCTCTGGCCAGCGAACGGGCATCAGCTCCCAGCCAGGTCTTTCCAACTCTACAGAAAGCATTGACAGCATGAAAGCCCTGACAGCAGCCATAGCAGCAGCTAACGCTCAGGTGCATGGCCCCCCCAGCCAGCACGTCACCAACAGCACCATCACCATCACCACCACAGCCACCACCGTCAATGCTGATAGCAATGCGCAGAAAGAAGCGCTCCGCAAGTGCCTCTCCATTGGAATTCAGGTTTGTAGATGAACTTTCAGTCAAAATCCTAAATATGACTCCGGCTAAAGTGTGACAGTTTCCTCCTTCCTGTTAGGTGGACCCAGAGGAAGAAGGGACAACAGAGGAACAGTCTAAATTCCAATCCATAGGAATTCAGGTGGAGGATGAGCGATGGTGAGTAGTGACACAAAATGAAACTGGATAAGCCTGAAAGGAGGGATGAGGTAGACTCATGGGGAAAGAGAGGGGTTGGTAATGTGCACTATAAGCTCTAGCACCCCCCTTCTAGATTGGGGACTCCTCAGCAGCTGTCCACAGTTCAAGAGAGGTTGGCGTCAGAGTCTGCACAGCCAGAGGCCCCAAGCGACAGCTGGGCTAGAGGATGTGGTGGAGTTTAGAAGGTGGAGGGGGCGAGTTGACAGCCATCTGTTGCTCGACGTATTGTGATTCAGGCTTCTTTGAGCCTGTGTGTTTGTGTATGTTTAGGAAGGAGGAGAGAGACAGTTGGGTTCAGAGTGCTGTCAAAAGCATGTTCACCATTTCAGGATGGGCAGTCTATTCCAGACTGTTTCATAACGAAGGCCTCTGATGAGGCACAGAGGCATTTATGGCTTCTTTGTCTTCTTTTCATTCACTGTCTCAATACAGTGTCTTTTCTGTTCAGTGAGAAAAGCGGAGCCGGTTTAGCATCGCAGCACACGCTTCTGCTCCGTAGTCAAGGTGCTGTTTGTTTCAGGCATCCAAAGGGAGATCAGCCTTAATCAAAGGTCACAGCAACGGCGGAGGCCAACGCTTAAAAACGCACACATGAACAGTGTCAGAGACTGTGAGGGGGATTTCTCAAAGAGGGAGGTCTCAACTGATTGACCAAGCTCGGATTTCTATGAGTCGCCAAGCCAAATATTAACTCATTCAGACACCTTCTGGACTGCAAAGGCTGTTAATACAGCATCGCGGCTTGTGCTTTTCCTTCTGGTTAATGTTTAGAGTGTTGGACTGTATTTTATGCTGTTTCATTCTTGATCATTTACCTGTTTACGTGCTTCGTGTCTTTTTGGATGCATCTGCCCCTAAATTAGAGTCCCTGTTACACTGCCTGTCGCTTTTGGCTTTGCTTCCGTGTGTCTGTTTAAGGATTTCTACTGAGCAGTTGTATACCTTAATCACCCCCTGGTATGTGTTCTTGGGATAGCACATGCATTGTAAACAGGTTGTAAAAGATGTGAACAAATGTCCTATTGTCTATGACAAATGTTTTCACTTTAACTCTTTGTTTATATGAGTTTTTGATGCCAACCTGTGTAAAAATGAAATAGAAGTTGATTAATTATTTAGAAAAAAATTGCCATAGAGCTTTAGAATAGTAGATTTAGGCTTGTGGGTCGCCAAAGGGTGATGTTTTTGTGTCTTTACTTGCCCCTGGACACTTTCACAGATGTTATAGTTTCTCCACAGTCTCAAAATGTAACTTTTTTTCCTCTTTAAATGTCTTACTTCTTTGCATCCTGTCTATTGATATGTCTGTGTATTTGTCTGGGTTGTGTATGGCCTCACTCTGGCCCTGCAGGAAGTTGTTAGCAGGCTGATAGAAAGCAAGCTGAGGTCATTAGAACTGAACACCTGCAAGCTGGAGTTATTCTTTAACTGCTCTTCACACATACTCGCACACATGGACCTGCTGGTATGCACACATTAAAGAACACACTCTGTCTCTCTTGCACTGTTTGATCTGTCCGATGCCACTCCCTTGTTCCTGCTCTCTTTCTCTTGTTCTCAGCAGAGGAGGGATGAATGGGGGGGAAAAGGGAAGTGAAGATGAATGGTTCTGGAGGAGTGTTTGTCTGGAGATGGGCTGTGATGGTTTGCAGCATGTTGCAGGCAGGTCAAGCTGCCTTTTCTTGTGTGAAAAGACTGTGGCTATGTTTGGTGTGAGTGCTTTAATCAGTGTGGCTATTCAGTCTCTTTATATCAACTTGTAACTGTAGAAGGCAAGTCTTTAAGCCCAAATTGGCAGTTTTATTTTTATTTACCTTAAATTAAATTATTGAATGGTGTTACATGTTAGAACTGAGTTGATACATATCAATTTGCGTTAAGAAACTTATCAACGGTGTCTCGCCCAGTCGCCTCACTGTAAGATGTCAAACCAAGAACTCTCGTTTCTCGTATGTTCAATTCATTGCTGGTGAGAAGCGCTACAAAACATAGCCAACCGTGGGTGCTTATTTAATCATTGCACATGTGTGTTAATGTTTCTGCTGTTGCACAAAGTTCTGGAGGACTTGGCAAAGCCTGGCAGGCAGTGGCACAACGTCTCTGAGCCAAACAGTCCATGGCAGCATCCCAGGTGTGTGAAAGGGTGTGTTTTTATCCCTGAGCTGTGTTTGTGCGAGTGTTCATCTGGCCTTACAACAGGATTTATGGTGTGACAGATGTTTTCACACTCTGCTGCTTCTGAATGAGACAGGTGACAAAACACCCACCCACCGAAAAGACGTTCCACACTACAAAAGCTAGTCATCACTATCAGCGAAGAAATCGCTGAGATCATGATTTAAGTTTTTCTCTCCAGCGAGCACCTCCAGGAATTGTGTGGTAATAATATAGAAAGTAAGTAAAATAATATCTTTCACACCTAGACTTGTTTTTGCATTCTCCACTAGTCACCGCAGGATGACCCGGTCCAACAGCGTAACCACGGCCGTACAGGCAGATCTCGATGACCCGACAAATGCCCCTGAGCTGCCACCACGTCTGTGTGCCACCATGCCACGCCAGCACTCCCGGGATGCCGCAACCTCTACAGTCAGCATACAGGGTTCAGGGAACCACTACCACGCTTGTGCCGGCGATGAATACGGGGAGGTGGGCTTTGACCCATCCATCTTGCCTCCTCCGGATCCCTGGATGGACAGCGTACCTGAGCCAGAGGTTGATTCTTTGGAGGCCATCAGTCGATCGGTGTGCCCTCGAGACGGGTGCTGGTTCCTGAAGTTGCTGCAAGCTGAGACAGAACGTATGGAGGGCTGGTGCAGACAGATGGAGCAGGACGAGATGGAGAATGAGCTGCCTGATGAGAGTAAGCTGGACAAAGAAAATCTGCTTTACAGTGATATTGTCTGTTTTTAATCCTCCTATCCTTGCCTGATGTAGAGAGTGCTGGCATTCCTGGTATTGGACCACAATAGCTGCTTGTTTCAGTCTCAGGCCCTCTGGCCTCCACAGACATACCGTGCATACTTATCAATAGGCCACTGCTGGCTGCAACCACACGTGTCTTATTGTTTGCGTAACGATCTCTCACATGTACAGAGTTTTCTCAGAGCTCCTTCGAGGCAACTATTTGATCTTGAAGTGAGCAGTTCTTGTCTGCTTGTGTCTAAAGATGCGTTTACAGTAACACACATAAACTCGCCAGTCTGAACAAACAAGCCTGAGGCAGTAGTTGCTGTATTTTTACCTGTCCTTAACTGTGCAGCTCATGTCATGCTTTACTGAACATGTCATTGCTTATGCAGCTAGTGTTTTAGTTCCAGGCAAGAGATTCTCTCACAAGACAGAGAACGAAGGAGAGTGTCTCAAGGTTATGTTTTCCCAGATCCCACGCTACCAGCCATGCACACACACATGCACACACATCCTGAGGGAGCTGAAGGCTGACTGCAGATTCATTACTCCCACTCTTGGTTTCTGATTCCACAGGCTTCATGTGGTGTGTTGCATGCATCTGCAGTGGTTTTCCGTAAAGACAAAACAAATCTGGTGCTTTAACATATGCTGGTGGAATCTGGTAATGCAGCGCAAATGTCTGTTATTTGCTGTCTTTATTTTTTATCCTTATTTTGAATGTTTTGTGATCCTAAAGTCTGGTTAACCTGATTCTCCTCAGTCTTGCCTTGAGGGTCTAAGAGGCTGGAGCATTCAGAGGCTGGAGCATTCTAACATGACTGTATGTTTAATGACCCACCCCCAAAAAAACAAAAAAACAAACAAAAAAACAGCAAATAAGGGCCATATTTCCTCAGGAAAACAACCTGCCAAACCACACATTTTACATTTTATGCAAGCTTTTTTTTTAAACAAGCTTTTGACAAAAAAATAAATAATAACACACACACACATCTAAACGTATCCTGATGCATGCTCTAAACGTACTGTAAATATTCAAAATAGTTTCTGTTTTTTTGGGGAGGAATGAAAATTTTGTCAGACATTTCACTTTATTGTCACATTACTGATGCATCTTCCTCTGAGAATGGTGCAGCATGCCTGCAGTATGCAGCTCTGTGGGTAATTGCATTGTTGAATGTATGTGTGTGTGTGTGTGTGTGTGTTTGTGTGTGTGTGTGCATGCATGTGCGTCTGTTTTTCTGCAGTCCTGGGGAAGATCCGCAGTGCAGTGGGGAGTGCCCAGCTGCTGATGTCCCAGAAGTTCCAGCAGTTTCGAGAGCTGTGTGAGGAGAATCTGGTATGTGTCACCTCATCCTCTGCATGCGCCCCACGAGCCGCCCCTCCCCCTTTCTTTACGCTGACATCATCCTGCACAAATCATGCTGACAGGCCAACCTAGCAGTCATTTACCGCGCATCTAGTGTAGACGTCATGTTTTTGCCATCTTTTGAAAATCGATCTTATGATGTGAAAGCAGGAGCCCGACAAACAATGATCTTTGAACTCCCGATCTATTATTAACCTTTAATCACATTATCAACACTTTATGTAACAATAAGGCCAGCACATTTGAGAAAATATTTTCGTTGTGAAATTTATAGGGGGGAAATTTTTTTTAGTTTTATTTATTTTGTTGTTCACCACATAGCCAAGACTAAACGATTGTGCAACAGACTGGCAAACTGATTTGTGTTTGGTTAAAAATGAGTATTGAAGAAATCAAAATCATTAAATACAATACAAGCCAAGTACTCCCCAAGGTCTGATAAACTCTGCACCGTTCAAATTCCAAATAAACTTCCAGACAAAATAAAAGACCAAAACTCAGTGATAAAGCATATAAACAGAGTGTGTTTGTATGCTTGTCTTCATGTGTGTCAGAACCCAAATGCGCACCCACGACCCATCTCCCAGGACCTGGCAGGTTTCTGGGATATGCTCCAGCTGTCCATCGAGAACATTAGCCTGAAGTTTGATGAGCTCCACCAACTCAAAGCCAACAACTGGAAACCTCTGACTCCCCCAGAAATCCAGGTGCAAACGCTCATGGCAAAAATTATCATAAAATCTAATTTTATTGTGCAAATAATTTAACTCATTATCAATTTTGAATGTTTTTATAACCTGCATGTTTTCCTTCAACATTGCTGTTTACTTTGAACCACGAAAGTCATAGTTGAGCTTTCAATGTAGCATGCAGTTGTGTCTTGTATAGTCATGTCGCTTGCCTGACGCCACGACTTGTGTGTTTTGTTGTCTTGTTGTTGACAGTGAGCTGCTTTAAGGAAGCTTCTCTACCTGCCATGCACCGTTGGGGCCTGTGCATCTCCAATGGTTTTTTTTACCTCACACAATGGCCACCAACATGCTGTCTTACCCCACATAAATGGCTGCCACCGTCAATCATATTTGCATGATCTCATATTAGCCACCAACTGCTAAATCTAACCTTCATTCAAAGCAGATTTGCGTCATTGTGTTTAGCCGAAGGAGTCATTGTTCCGTCTTTAAGACTGTTTATCATTCTTATCCAGGAGAGAAGGATGCCCCCTCCTGTGCCAAAGAAGCCCCTGAAGGGCCACCCACCTCTGGCTAGGGACCGCTCTCTGGAGAGCTCTGAGCGCCAGCGTCTGGAGGCTCGCAAGCGCCTGCTAGCTGCCAAACGAGCCGCTTCGGTGCGGCAGAGCTCTGCTACCGAGAGCGCAGACAGTATCGAGATTTATATTCCTGAGGCTCAGACCAGACTCTGAAACACACAAACATACATTCACATGTATAAAACTCTACACTATTCCATAAACTCAGAATTAGCACTGAATAGTAAGGCTAGGGTGCTAGCGTATACACATTTTCTTTTGCCGACTTTCCAGATCACTGTGGGGTCAATCACCCTGAAATGCGTCTCAACAAGAAATGTATATTTACAGTATTTATTTAGTTATTTATATATCTTCCCTCGCCTTTATCTCTCCTTTTCCCAGCTTTGATGTAGCAAACCCAATTCTTTTTGTACCTCATTCTGTTCCTCACACCTAAAAATCTATCTAACCACTTGTGTTAAGTGACCAGATGGTACAAGGTAGGCCATGTGTATCACAGCAGTGACTCTTCTCACAAAAATCAGTACCGTATTTTCCGGACTATAAGTCGCTGTTTTTTTTTTCATAGTTTGGCCAGTCCTGCGACGTATAGTCTGAGGCAATTTATATACATTTTTTTTTTTTTTTTTTTTTTCCCTATTCATGACGAAAATTTTGACTGACATGTTAAATGTTCATTCATATTAGCATGTCTGGCTGGCTCCTGCCGGGCGCATTATCTCCACTGTGGAGGGGCCCCCTCACTCCCGGCACTGCTGCCGACCGGGACAGTCGTTATATGTTTACATGCACAAAATTATTTGACCGGATTGAAATGTTTTCAGATTAAATAATCCAAATGTATCGTTTACACAGGCACAGTCCGTTCACAACGAGTGTTTACATGCAGCGGGGTTTTATTCTGAACAAAGTACTGACATGTGCAGAGTGGTAAACTCGCCTTAAATAAACCACCGAAGAAGAAGTTCTACTTCCGGTTTACTTCCAGGGATGAACGTAAACAAACCTGAGCACCCACGTAGAAATGTGCCGCTCACCGACCAGTTTTACTTCCCCGACATGCTAACATTATTAGCATTAGCCAGGCGGAAATGACATAGGTTGCACATGCGCAGTTTGGCCAGTTTTTCACGATCGGAAAAAAATGAACAGATTAAGTGTCGGATTATGAATCGGCATAAACCACCAGTCTTATTCTGATTACAAATTCTTTCGGATTGTGCTGAATAAACAAAAAATAATCCGAATGGGGCGTTTACATGACACTTTTTTTTATTCTGAATGACTGTTTAATCCGATTACTTATGTCTAGGGATGATCCAATTGCAGTTTTCTGGCCGATCACCGATTTCTAAAAAGCCTGACCTCCCGATACCAGTTTTTGTTTTATAAGCGACACTGTCAGGTGTTAAAAGGTCACAAGGCACCTTTAATTTTACAATATTATTTTAAGAAAAATATACCCTTGAACAATATCCTAGAAACAATACAAACTTGTTTTAACTGGCCATGAGGTAGTGCTCTGAAATACAAATCAAGTTTAGACAATTGTTAAAATTTTAAAAATCGGTAAAATTGGTTACTCATTGAAGTACTGGCCGATTTCCGATTTCTCAAAATTAAGGAAATCGGGGCCGATAAATCGTCCGGGTGCACCCCTACTTATGTCCATGTAAACATGGCTAGTGTGATGCGACCGCGTTGCGCCGACCAGGCAAAATGAAGCTGATTTGACCATTAAAGTGCATTTATTAAGGAAAAGTTAAGCTGAAACACACCTTTGCTATAATGTCAAGCAAACAAATAATTGTTTTTAGATGTTGATCTTGTTAAATTTCAAAGAACTGCAAATGGGGTCGCCAAAAGATTTTTGGCAGCCAATCGGTTTTTGGCATGACACCGACCCATGTTTCCCGGGGGTCAGCAGTGACATATAATAAATGCAACTTATACTCCGAAGTGACTTATATATGTTTTTTCCTCTTCATGAGGCATTTTTTGACTAACGCGACCTATACTCTGGAGTGATGTATAGTGTGGAAAATACGGTATTTGGTTTTGAAAGTATGAGTTTTACACACACACACATATATATACATATATATGTATACTGTATATGTAGGTCAAACATTACAGTAAATAAACCAAGAATGACGAGGCTGTTTTAATCCTGTCTTGCAGATTCATGAGGCTATGGAAGGTTGATTTTTTTTTTTTTACGTTTTACTTGAGGCAGAGAGGAAAATATAAGCCTCTGCCAAGAAAGAAAATCGCTGAATGGCTCACTGTTGGAAACAGCCACAAATGAAATCTGTCTGTGTGACAGAAGAAGTGTGAGCTGAACGTGTGTTTTCATTCAGATTTCAAAGTGCTTCCTATTTTTCTAAAACCTAAGGGGTCTTCGTTGTAACTGACCACTAAAGGTAGCAGTACCATCAAACTGTACACCAACCTGCCGTCTTGTCTCATTTTAAACACGTTCGTATAAAGACATTCAGTATAAAGACACCATTCGCATGCTGACATATTTTTTGTGTGTTTTCCACACTTACCCAGTGTTGTGTTCACACTCCTCTGTAACAGACTAAGCTAAAATATTTGCTACAACATTGTAGCTGTATTATATTTTATTATATATATTTTTTTTTTACGTCCAAGAAAGGTTTCTTGGTAGTATGGAGAATACTGAACCGAAAAGGGACTATTATATCTCCTCACTGTGTGTGCACTACCGCTGCCTCCGAACAAAGCAATTACTGACGGTCATACAGAAAAATAAAATCCTCTTTTTAATATTTTGTATATTTATTTTATCGATTGGAAAGGAAAAAAAAAAGACTGTTTCTGGATATTGTGATTAATATTATTATGCACTGATAAGGCCCTTATACTGTGTCTGTTTTTATTCATTGTTTTATTATTTTTTTATTTTTTGAGGCATGACGTTTATTTTTTTGTCTTTTTGTTTCAGTGACCAGCCTTAATTTCAAATGTGATAGTTGAGCACAACAGCAGTCTCAGGGGAAGAGGCGTGTCGAGTGTGTGTGTGTGTGTGTGTGTGTGTGTGTGTGTGTGTGTGAGACTGAGTGTGTGTCTGCCTTCTTGTGACCCACAGATTTGTGTCTTGTTGTATATAATCCCTATCAGGATAGGCCATGATTCCTAATGAAGAATAATGTGCTCACCTTGTGAACATCGAACTTTCTTCAGTGTAACGAAGTATTTGTCAGCTGCTCGAATGTGGAGACAATCCTGATTTCATCTGGTTTACGTTAGGGTTTTGGTAAAAGTATCGCAGGGCTTCTAGTGTTTCAGTTCTCTAATGATCTGACAAAGCTTGTGCCATTCGATAAGCAAGGATAGTTTATCCTGCTATATTACCAGCTAAGTGAAGTTTTCAATCAAATATGTTATTTAAAGAGTGACTATGTTTGATTTGTATTTTCAATTCAATTCTAGAGGGTTTATATAGCAAATTATTTAACTCGATGCCATTTTATGTCTATATGTTGTTTTATTTTGACACTTGTACCTGCATTGAATTGTTTCATATTATTTGTTTCTTATATTAACATATCAATATAACACCCCTAGTATATATATATATATATATCAGGGAGTCAGAAGCCAGAATGTTGAAACATGGACACTCCAGCAATTCTGAAGCTTGTGATATAGTCGAGAAAAACACTCAAACATTTGTATATAAATGAATGTTTCTTTATGTATATGTAAACTAAAAATACGTAAATTACATATTAACATATACATTTTGTAATTAATGTTGCTACACAGTTGATGTTATGGCACGTGTATGAGCTCTTTGTCAGCATTAAAAAAAAAAAGTATTGCCATTTATTTTCACGTGTTAATTTCTTTCCCATCTGCATGTGTTTTCAATGGGAATATAATTAAAGATTTGTAGGCTGTTTTAAGGCGTTTCCCCTTCCGCAGGGGCAGGTCCCCATAATTAGACAGCTCCTGTACACACAGCTTCTGGTGGTGATTTGTCATTCACGCATCAGTCGTGCTGAGAGGAGGCCCGTTGGCCTCGGCGGGCAGGATTATGGTTAAGGGGCGTGCAGTGATGGAGCAGTGGATGTTGCCTTTGTGTGTGACCTCAGCCTGACTCAGTTCGCTCGTCATATGGTCTACTACGGTGGGCTTTGAGTTACTGTGTCCTCGGAGGTCTGTGTGAACCTTTTTTTTTCTTAGATTACATCACAGCTTCATTACATCGCAATCTCTGTCACTTTGACAGGAAACAAATAGGTGGAACACTTCAAAAACCTTTAAAATGTGTGCCTTTGCCACAATCTTTAGGCTCTCTGTTTAACTGATCCGAGCACATTTTGACTGGAAAAAACACGAGTGGTTCAGAGAATATAATAAATATAAGAAAGCTTATTTAAATTCCATTCGGTTCAGTTTATTCATATGGCGCCAAGTCACAACAGAAGTCATGTCAGTGCACTGAACAGAAACATTTTATATATTAAAAAAAAAACAAGTTAACACTATTTATCTGAGGAGCAGACTGCTTTGAATTTAACTCCATCGCAGAACTCTCATCCTGAGCAAGCATGAAGGCGACAGTGGAAAGGAAAAACTCCCTCATGAGGAAGAAACCTTTAGCAGAACCATCTCAGGACAAGCGGCCATCTGCTTCAACCGGCTGGGTTTGAGAGGAACAGATACACAATGGTATCAAATGAAAACTAATCAATGTTAACAATTCATTTAAGGAAAAAAGGTCAAGTTGTCCTCCAGTAGTCTAAACCTATAGCAGCATAACAAGACAACCCCAACTATAGGATTTATCAAAAAGGAAAGTTAAGCCCAGTCTTAAAACTGGACAAAGTGTCAACTTTACAGACAGAAACTGGAAGTTGGTTCCACAAGAGAGGAGCCTGATAACTGAAAGATCTTCCTCCCATTCCGCTTTTGGAAACTCTAGGAACCACAAGTAAGCCTGCAGTTTGAGAGCAAAGTGCTCTGCGGGGAAAATATGGAACAATAAGATCTTGAATATGAGATGGAGCTAGGGTGTTGAGAGCTTTGTAGGTTAGATTTTGCATTGAATTGAAATGTCACATCCTGATGAGGCCAGTGATGGAAGCTTGATGGCAACAACAGAATGGGACAGCTGTCTCTTATCTTCCACCTCTGCTGCAAATCGACCCCCGCCAGCAAGAAAACTGCTGATCCTACCACTTGCTTAATTTATGCAGGATTATGTTAATCAACAGGAGCTGTTGTAAACCTCACACCCAGGAATGCCTGTAGAAAGACGAGTGCCAGAGAACCCTGCTTTTATTTACCCAACATCCCACATCTGCTTATCCTTGAAGGATATTTGTTAGCTTTACAATTTAGCGGGATTAACAGAAACAACAGCTGTGTGTGCGAGTAAAAACGATCCAACTACAAGATGTAAAAAAAAAAAAACTTTATTTGAATCCCATGTGACCCCTATTTGCCACAAACATTGCACAGTATGAAAAGAAATCACATCATTGGGCATCGTGTCACATTGGCTATACATGAGATCCTATTATAAATGAAAATGCTTGTTTTTGGTGATTTAAAAAAAAAAAAAGCTCTCTTTGTAAGGTTGTAAAAATAAAACGCAGGAAAATTAAAGCGTTTTAGCGTTTAATTTTCCAGTTCACTGGCCGTCATCTTTTTTTTGTTGTTTGTTTGTTTGTTTCTCGCTGAGTGATGGGATGAAGGCTCCATCTAAGAACCTGCTACATTGGTCATCTGAAAGATCCCTTGGTATATATAAAAAAAAAAAAAAAAAGTTAAAATAAAAGCAAGAGATTTATTCTCTTAAAACAGCTAAAAAAAGTAAATTACAAAAACACAAAACTATACTCATGAAAACAGTTAAACATTTACTACAGTAGTGAATAAGTTTGTCACGTGATGCCGAGAGTAAAGTATAAGACAATGAGATGATCTTCCTCTGCCTTTAGTGTGCAAACAAACGAGGCAGACCGATCAGGAACTGATCTCTGAAATGTTGAACCGTAAACACGTGTGGATGCAACTCATCAGCTTCTAGTTCTCTCTTCTTGTATACGTTGAGATTCAGTTGAATGGAAATACAGACAGGCAGCATTTCTTTGAAAACATTTTTTTTGGTCCCCGTGTGCAAATAAAATACACATGTAGATACATACGCATGTATATGAAATGACTAAACTTACAGCCAAGGCACCTGGATAGTTTTTTCTATTAAAAAAAAAACAAAAACATCCTTGTCGTATTGATTGGTATACCAAAAATAGAAATGATCAGGCGTTTCAGGTGGATTTGTTCTGTTTCGTGCAGACGAGTCACTGACGTGAGGGACTTCCACAGTCGAAGTCAGTCACTTCCCTCCTCCCTCCTTTACGAGACCAGCTGTTTGGCTTGCAGCTCCATCTCTGCAGCCCGTTTGAGGGCCACGTCCACCAGGAGCTGGAAGCCACTGAAGTCTTGTGTGAGGTCTGGTGGAGTCGGGGGAGGGGTGTTAAACAGCCCGCTGCGGGGGCTCAGGTTGCCCTCCATGCTGGTGCTGCTGAGGATGGTGGTAGTGGTGGCAAACGGGTACCCCTCATCCCGGCACCGGAGCAACGCCTGCGCCTGCACGGACTGCAACAGCTCGGCCGCCCTGTCGCAGTTCATTCCTGGCACCGGAGGGTGGGGGGCCGTCGGGCTCGCTTGCATCGCCGCGGTGACGGTGGTGTGACAGATGACGGACGGCCGGTTCGGAATGAGGCCCGCGGAGGACGTCGGAGACGGCGCAGCGCAGGGGGACGCGGACTTCCTTAGGACGCCGTGCACCGCGGGGTCGAAGCTGGAGGGGTGCAGGACGCGCTTGTCGCCGCCCTCCTCCGCGCCTGAAGCGGGACTGCTGTGCTTCGGGGACTGGGAGCTGTCGGAGAAACTGTCCCCGCTCTTGCTGCCTTTCCTGGAGATGGTGAACTGGTTCGGGTCCTTGCCGTCTTTTCGCAGCATCTCGGGGAGGAGGCGTCGCCGGGCGTTAATGAACCAGTTGCACACCTGTGTGGGGGGTGGGGGGGGGGAGAACGAGAACAAAAGCGCGCGGTGAGAACGCTGCGTCGCTCGGCCTTGCAATCCGGAAAATAAAAATAAAAATCTGCTGGTGCTTCTCACCAGGCACTGTTTGTTAGCTATTTCATGCTAGTTTACATCACATTTTCATACCACGACTATAATAACCTCTATATAACAAACTTTCTTCTCCAAGTTTCAGCTTTTACTTCCTATAGTTAAAAAGCGTTGAATAAGAACTAATCTGCCGCAGCACTGATGACGGTGTTTCTTGTTTTCTCCTTCAGGCTAGTCGTAACCGGCTCCTGGACGCCTGTAACTCTAACTATGTAAATGACTCTGCATTGTTCCCAGACAGCTGGGATGGAACGGGGCTGGAGGGAGGGAAATTCCTGTCCAAGTGTTTTTTAGCCAAACCCACAGCACCCAGGGAGTGAGTTTACTCACGTTGCCCCGTATGCTTCTTGTGTTGCAACTCAAAGAGTTCGGATGACCTTCAATTCACTGCTGACGTGTTTTGTTTGCCATCTTGACAGGAAGTGATTCAGTTCGGCTCACACTTGTTTCCTTATGAGCTCTACAGTGGTCTTTTTGTCCCCACTTCTGTGGTTTACTGGAGGCTAAAGCTCAGGTAACCATCTGGCACATGTGTGTTCATACCTGCAACGTGGAGAGCTGAGTCTGCTTGGAGAGGAGGGCTTTCTCCTGCTCGGATGGGTACGCGTTGTAACGGTGCTCGTACAGCCAGTCTCTGAGGATCTGGACGGACTCCTTGGGCAGGTTGCCTCTCCGCTTTCTCTTCCCGTTGCTCCCAGCGCTCGAAGACAGATCCAGGGGGGCGTCCACGTTGTCCTCGTCGTCCGTCTCGCTCCCTGACAGCATCGTCAAACCTGCGCGAGACAAGGACAAAGAAAATCCCTCGTTTAACGCCGCCTGCGAGGCAGCTGATGTGTCAAAGAGGCGAGCTGTCAAGTTCAGCCATGTGATTCATATGAGGCGTGGAGGCGGGTGCAAAGAGGGGAGGTGGTGGTGGGGTATCACAAATGAGCTGATGCTGAACCCAAGCCGGACTTGAAGTTTAAGAAAGATTTTGTCCACAAAGAGGAGCAGATTACAGCTTTCAGGTTTGGATTTAATCAAAATCACATGGTCAAACATGGTGGAACAGCAGGGGCTTCAAGGAGACACTTCTTCAGGTCTCCAATTAGCTTGGTGCAGCTTATATTGAAAGAAAACGGGGCCAGAAGATAGAGAAGCTGATTCTCTGACCCTCAGCTGAAAGTAACCACTGAAACATGAAGACAGTCCACAACTCCAAACGGTTTCATTCAAGTTTACGCAGCGCGATGCGTAAGAAAAGTTCCCGAAAGTCTTGAGTCGCCAACAGGATGAGGTAATTACGCAGGCTGAGGGAGAGAGGGGGGGGGGGGGGGGGGGGAGGGGAGACCTGTTGCAAATCAGCGTCTCCCAGACTAAACAAAAGAAGCCAGCAGCGCTGCGTGCGTCTTTGTACGCGACTCCCAAAAGTTTCCACTCGCGGACCAGAGAGTTTGGCGCAAAACCCGACACCGTCTGAAACGGTCCAGGTGGACGGAAACGGGAGAACACCCCCCCCCCCCAGTCCAAACAGAGGAGCTGGTTTTGTAAGTTTAAAACAACTCGAGAGAGGGTTTCTATTGTGTGCGCGCGAGCTTGCACCACGAGGTCCACGAACAACAGCAGCAACTTCCCACAATGAGGTCAGGATGAACATTAGCGCACGCTTGGATTAGTCACATTTAAACACTTCTACGTTTAATAAAACACTCCTTTTTGAAGTAGGTTTGTTTTAGACACAAAGTGGGTTTAATTACATCGTGAGTTGAGGAGAAAAACGCACGTTTTTGTGCGTTAATTTACACCAAAAAAAAAAAAAATCGGCTTTTTGACATCGCGCCAGCACATGGCAGGAAAAAAAAAGCCCCCTGTCACGTCTGGGAAGGAAACAATAGGCTGCGTGGTTTGCATGTGAGGGGGGAATATATATTTTACATGAACTAAGCTGGCTCAAAGCGTTTTTCTCGGAGCAACCCCTTCCAAAAACACACCACTTACCCTTTTTCGTCTTCATCTCCGTCCCGAAAAATCCCAATTCCTCGCCGAGCGTAGAAGAAGAGAATTATCTTGATGTGTTTTTCGTCTTCGCTCCAGCGTGTCTCCAGACAACAGTCCAAAGAGAAAGCTTTTCCTTGGATGTGGTTTATCTGTCCTCCTCTCGTCCCTTGTTTGGAGTCTTGGCGATGACTTGGAGGAGGGGGTGGGGGGGTTTACCTGAGATCTGTGTGTGCTCGGAGCCCTGTGTGTGTGTTTGATCCTGAAACTGGGTGACAGCTATCTTTGACAGCTGCGTGACTCAACGCACAGAGATCCTCCCACCATGTTGAACAGAGGAGGAAAAAAAAAACAAAAAAACTCTGACATCAGCATGGCTTGTTCTACTGACATGGATACGATTTCTTAAAGCTTTACCAAACATTTAAACTTCTTTAGATCTTGGGGGGTGGGGGGAACACTGAAAATGGATAGTCTGGCAACAAAAACAACAACAGGCTGGTGGAGCACTGCGCAACCACAGCCTCGCTGCAGGCAAAGCATTTTTTTTTCCTGCGGCTTTATTTCCTTTATCATGCTTTAAACATTGTCTTTGAATTTACACAAAGACACGTAAATTATTGCATGTTTATGGAAGAGCACCCCCCCCCCCCATTCTCTTGTGTCATTGCAGCAAACTAATATTGTCATTTTCGTCTTAAGGAAAAAGCTGTTTTGTCCAACATCGATGTAGTAGTGACACAGTGATCCAGCCCCTCAGCATTTGCAGGTTATGGTGCACCAGTTCAGGTTGTTGAAGCCAAAAACAAGACAGCAAAGTGTGTGTGTGGAAGTGAGGGGGTAAACAATCAATGCCTTCATTTGTATGCGCCGCACAACCCTGCGACAGCTGCTGTGGCGGCGTCAAGCGTCCTCTCCTTTAAAAAAAAAAAGATCGCCCTCTTGTGGTCACTTTTGGAACTGCGTTTGGATTTAGAAACTGAGGTCCTCGGGCTCCCTCTAGTGGCCAATATGCAGCTGTTCACTCTGAGCCTCACAAAGACGGAAAGAAAGTATACCCACACTGTCTTTATGTTGAAAAAAATGTTTGAAAATCTAATTTCATAACAAACAAGTGTGCTCTGCGTGCTGGATATGTTTTACAACATCTCTCAGATCCAGTGTCAGATATTTACTGGATTCCCCATCCCCCCCTTAAAATAAATAACTTTCAGATACTCCTCACATGCTGTAAACTTTTTTGTTTTATTTTCATTTGTTTTATCCCTGACACCTATATTTGTCATCTGCCTGTTCAGTTTTCTTGTATTTGCTTGCTGGGAATAACCCAACGGGAGATAACGCTTTATCGCCCGTGTCTGTGTTAGCAACATATCTAACGAACCACTGGGCGTACTTTTATGAAACTTTTATGAAGTAAGCATTGGATTATTATCTACAACTCAATATCTGATGGAGCTTTTCCAATTCAAGATAGCCACCACAGCCAACTGATATTAGAAGAAAAAAAAAAGTAGAATTTGGTCAGTTTTACAAGTGTTGAGTTAAAATTTGGTGTGGTAGTAGCTGAGAGTTATTCCCAACGCACACTTTGTGATGTAACACATCTCTCAAGGTATTGCATGACATTACATCAAATCATTTCCTAGGTTTGATCAAAATGGCTATAACTCTTTCCATTCTCACCATAAGATGATCTCAGTTTATTGCTCTGGCCTGAAAGGACGCAGGCGATATGCATTTCTCCAAGGAATGTTAGGATTTTAGTTTTTGTTGGCAGGTATTGCACAATATCTTGTCACGGTTAGATACTAGGACTGGACAGAAAAAGGAGTAAACAGTATCACCAAAGTTCAAGAAAAAACTACCGGTACAAAGTCCTTTTAGAAAGTGTGGAGAAGGAAAAATCTGCTTCTTTGGAAGCAGTAAATTTAATAGGGTGCTTTAAACCTTTTGTACAGTGCTGCATAATAAACTACTTTGATCATATCAATCCTATTTTTGATTTTTCTGTTGGCGAGATTATTTTACAGGAGGAATTTTCTGACAGCAGTGAGCTGAGATCTATATTGAGCACCAACATGCCTGGAAAACTCCAGATCTCACAGTCAGTTGTAAATATAGTCACATGAACAAGTCTGCCATACCAAAGTCTGGTAGTTTATGGTCAGTCAGCTGTCATTATATAAAAAAATAAACAAAATAATAAAGTTTGTACTTTGTGTTTTACATTTCTCTAAATGTGAGTTTACCTTTTTCACATGCAGCCTGAATAAAGTGTTCAGGTTTATGTTCACAAATAACGTCACTATTAAAAGTAAAGTAAACATTTACTCAGATAAAAAATATATATAATATGCAAAATATATAATGTTCATAATTATTTTTAAAAAGCTATAATTCATCTTAATATGATTGGTCAGTTTTTACAATGATCATTAAAAAAAAGAGGTGTGTCCTACCCATACAGGAAATGGGCTTCAAAATAAAAGCAACATTACATAAGCCTCTGGACAGATTCTTCTTTATTGACTTCTTCAAAAAGTCTGAGGATCTGAAACAAACTCTCTTGTAAAAAGCACCTTCTCATCACCCTCTTACAATACTGTTATTGCAAGTATCAGCCCGCTGTGAATAGAAAGCAGCCATCAGGGCACTAACGATCAATTGTCATGCTGATGATCCTCCTTTTGCATGTGAACAACTAGTCTTGGCCGTCACCAGCAAACTGGTCGATCCACTACGAGAAGGTGATGATGAGTTTGTTGCAGCTCCTTAGATAGAAGAAATATTTTGAATAAAAGACTAAACGTTTCAACAAAAAACAATCTGGCATCCAGAGGACCTGACGTAACCTTGTTAGATTCCAGGTTTACTCGTGGTTGCTAGTTTCTTAAAGTAAAATGGGAATCAGAGCTTCCAGTTATCAGGCCCCTCTCTTGTCTAAAACAACTTCCACTTTCTGTCTGTGAAGCTGACACTCTACTTTCAAGACTACGCTTAAGAAAACTATCCAGATGACCTGATTGAATGAATCTTGATGACTATAGGTTTAAGACTTTATTTTTTTGATAAATCCTATAGTTAGGGTTAGCTTGGGTTATTCCTTAACCTCATGATGCCTTAGACCACATGTGTCAAACTCGAGGCTTGCAGGCCAGATGTGGCCCTCCACGTCATTTTACGTGGCCCATGAGATTAAAAGGTCTAATTGTCGTATAATAAATAAGCCAAAACGGTGCACTGACAACAAACTACATTTCCCATAAAGCATGCCAATTATGTTACCTGTGAAGTAGCAGCACCTCACTACTAGAATGCAGTTTTTCTACATCAGTATCATTTTCTGAACAAGTGGAATTGAGAAATACAAACAACGATCCCAAAATGTCCAGGAAGAGAAAAATTGATGCAGATGAAGGTTTGTTTCAAGAAAGATGGGAAGGTGAAAATATGTTTGTGCTTCAACTGCTATGTCTTTTGTGTTATGAGACAGTGGTGGTCGCCAAAGGGTACAACGTCGGCATTTTGACATCAAACACGGAGCTAAGTATGCCAAAGTGAGCCTTCAACCCTGATGTTATTTTGAGTTTATTATACTTATTAAATGTATTTTATTATATTATTTTAAATTTGCAGCAATGCATTTGGGATTGCAGGTTTATGCGTTTATGCAGGCAAATGTTTTCTATAATAAAAACCATCTCTCCTGGCTGCCAGGCTGTGTGCAGCCATTTGTTTTTTGTAAAATGCTCCACCTGTCCCATCTTAGCAGCTCACAATTGTTGGTTGGATCGTTATTCTGCCCCTCTTAACTATGACAAAAATGTTTTGAACAAAGTTAATGTCACAACTTTTCATTTTTTTTCTCATTCGCTTGGAAAGTTTGATCATTGATTTATGGTTTAGTATGGGTTTCATAACCTGACAAGTTAAAAGGTTAATGTTATAACAGCAGATATATTTTTTTTCTACATCTATGCATATATATATGTATGGGTACCGCAGGGGTCCATCCTCGGTCCCCTTCTCTTTTCTTTATACCTGCTGCCACTAGGTGCTATCTTCCGCAAACACGACATACCCTTTCATTTCTATGCCGATGATTGCCAAATTTACTTCCCCCTGAGGCACAGAGGCACACGCTCTATTCAGCCTCTTCTTGACTGCCTGGCTGACATCCGGGACTGGATGGCTTTAAACTTCTTAAGCTTCAATGAGAAGAAGTCTGAAGTCATGCTGTTCCATCCCAGTGGCTCACTCATGAACTATGACATTGACCTTTTCTCTCTAGCCCCGCTAGAGAAACAAAAGGTGACTAATCTGGGGGTGATAATGGACCCGTCCTTAAAACTCAACAGTCACGTAAACATGATGGTCAAATCCTGTTTTTTTCAGCTGAGACGGCTGTCTAAGCTGAAGCCTATACTCTCCAAAAAGAACCTCGAGACAGTGATCCACACCTTCATAACATCTAGGCTTGATTACTGCAATTCACTTCTGTTTGGAATCAGTCAGTCCTCCATTGCTCGTCTACAACTGGTCCAAAATGCTGCAGCCCGATTTTTAACTGGTACAGGCTATAGAGAGCACATCACGCCAGTTTTGGCCTCCCTGCACTGGCTACCCATTCACCTT